ACAGTTTTAAACAGAGAAACAGAGTGTGAATAAAGCTATTGCAATAATCATAACCTGCATATCTTTCCCATATGAACTATAAACCTACTTTTGCCCACCCCTGTATTTATTTAGGAAAAACTGATACTTTGATCAATTATGTTTAGCACCAGTATAAGCCCTCTTGGACAAAAAACACAGTAACTAAAAGAGCCACGTGATACAAAATACATGAAGGAAGTGAGCATAGTCAATTAGTTTACAAAGGGAACATTATCACTTCTGTAGTGTATTTGATAACATAGGGTAAAAAGGCATAATAAGGCATAATCTAAGTATTCCTATGAAAGAATTAAGTAAAATAATTTTTCATTTCTATGAAAACAGTAGCAATCTTTCATGTTCAGTGATGCAGACTGAATATGGCTATTGAAAAACAGTTGATTATTAAGTTTTAAAGTCCTCTACTTAAGAAATAATTTTGGAAACCTGAGAGTAAATTTGTTTAGAAATATTAAAGGCACAAAGCAGACTAAAAGCAAATGACAAAAGAAAGTTCTTACTGTTAGAGAAGATTCATACAGTAATCTGCATTAGCAACTGGTGTACATAATTTGGTATACTTAGAATTATAGCCTAGAAGGGAGTGAAAAATCAATATAAGAACTAAGAAAACCTAAGAGTTCAACAGTTACATGAGTACTATGATATAAAGTTGGAATGCAGAACTAGATAGCAAATACTTTTTTATTTTAAGACAAATGTATTCTCTCACAGGGTTGTTCCATAGAAAATAAACAATTATGTGACTTTTGTATGAAATAGGAATTGTTGTCAGGCAACTAACTAAACAAAGTTAAAGTACAAAGGTAAATGAGGCAATAAGACAGGTAAACAGCCTAATCTGCAGGAAAAGAACTTAAAGCTGTGTTGGTTATCATGCTGGCATTGTTTTTTTGGTCCCCCAGCAATGCAACATGGTCCCCATGTTCTTAATATGAAATAGATTTTCTATAATGAATGCACTGTTAATATTTCTTGTCTTTGGGCCTTTGATTTATGATACTTTGTTTTGCAAAATTATCATGTATAGATGTCATACTTTCTATAAAGACAATTCCTATGTTAAGTTTAGAGGTGAAAATAGGTGGCATATTGTTTTAATTTTCAAGTAAGTATGAAATAGAGTAACTGTATTACAATTCAGCAAGCATTTATTGAGACTCTCCTAACTAGTCTCTGAATCAAGAGACCAGAATAAACAAAAGCTGATTTCTTGGCTGGTAGCCTTCACATATTTACTAAGAACATTTAAAACTGAGTATTTATATGAGAGAATGAATGCTCCTATACTAATTTAGATCAGAGATTTACACAAAAAGCTTGCTTACACAAAATATTTTCCATTAAGTCTAATAAGTATTCAAATTTTCTAACTCTTGTCTCTTATGATTCTGACACATATACTCTATTTAATGTCACCCAAATTAAAAAAACAGAAAACCACTCTGAAGTCACACATCACAATTCTGACACATATACTCTATTTAATGTCACTCAAACTAAAAAGACAGAAAACCACTCTGAAATCACACATCAAAGTAAAAACTCTAATTTCATATTAAAATCATTTGTAATGTACAATTCAAATATACTAAATTCCCACAGTGTAAATTTTAAAAGCATAATTTCTTTCCTTTCAGTATTGTCCTTTTTAATGGCAGGTTAGTAGATTATAAAATAGAACTGTAAGTTTAGATTCTCATTACAAACACTGCCATCTTATACTTGAATAAAATGATAAAATCATTATTTCTTGATCAGGTGCAATGCTGGTGCAAACCATGATATTTTTAGTTAAAACACCTGACAGTAAGAAAGAATTATGAAACTGGAAGGTCTCTGTTTAAAAGAAAATAACAGTACAGATTCACATAAGTTAGATGTTTTATAATTTTACCCTTAAGAGGACAGTAGCAATCGAACAATCACTCTATTCAGAGAAGAACAACTGTAGAAAATAAACATCTTACTGATATTTTTACCCTTTCTTGTTTAAAAGCCAGATGCTAATTTTATAAAATATATCAATAAATACCTATAAAATAAATATATTAGTCCATAGCTCAAGGGAAAAACAAGGTTTATATATCATCCTTCTCTTTAATAATAACAATTTGAAAGTTGTTTTTTTAAAAAGAAAATATTTAAGGCATAATATGTTTTAAAATCTAGCTTCCGGAAACAATTTCACATTTTATAAATTCAACAAAAATCTGCCCTTTGCTCAAAATGTAATTTTTGATTTTGTAAACTAAGAATTTTAATCCAAACTGATTCTGTCAGAGCAAAGCAAATATCACAGGGTCTGTTTCCTTATCTTTTAAATGGTGATGGTAGTACATCCTCAAGAGCTATAGGAAAGATTAAATAATAGACATAGTGCCAAGCCCAGTGCTGAGTACATAACAGGTGCTCAATCAATGACAGCTATCACTCTTCAGTCAAAGATTGGACATCTGCATGTACTCCCTCTTCCTATGTCAAATTCTTTTCTGTCAATAGTCTTAGATATGAGGACATAAATTTTGATACAGATCTTAAAATGACATATTCCTTTTGTACCCTCCCTGGGGAGTCAACAGTTATAATGGTAGAGTTTATTGTTTTTAATTAATACCTAGTGGCTATTTGGTCTTAGTATTTGATGATATACAAGTTTAAGACCATTTTCAAAACTGGGTTCCATGAATAAGTCTGTAATAGGTCTGAATTTTAATCCAACAATTATATAATTCTCAATATTTCTTGGACCCTTTCTTTAAAAAGTTATAAACTTTTGCTTCCTTTTATTCATTTCTCTTCATCTCTCTATCAGTATTTCCAGGAGAGGACTGAGCAATCCTCCCCACATAACTAATGATATCACCTCCATGTTCTTCGGTTCCTGAACCAATGATCCATTTAGGTAATTCTACTTTTTCTAACAGAGAAAAAACTGGGCCATTAAAAACAGAACATTATAATAGAACTCTTTAAAAAATTGAACTTGAAATATTCAATTTACCTAGTCTAATTACATGATAAAATAAATCTGCTTATATAACTAGAGGCCCAGTGCACGAATTTGTGCACCAGTGGGGTCCTTTGGCCTGGCCTGCAGGATGAGGCCGAAACCAGCTCTCCAACATCCCCTGAGTGGTCCCAGATTGTGAGAGGGCTCAAGCCAGGCTGAGGGGCCCCACCAGTGCACAATCGCGGCTGGGGAGGGATGTGGGCGGTTGGCCAGACAGGGAGAGACCACAGGAGGGCTCCAGGGCATGTCCGGCCCGTCTCGCTCAGTCCTGATTGGCTGGACCCCAGCAGCAAGCTAACTTACCAGTTCAAGTGTCTGCCCCCTAGTTGTCAGTGCACATCATAGCGAGCAGTTGAGTGGCCTTAGCATATCATTAGCATATTACTTGGTGAACGGCTGATCGGACACTTAGCATATTAGGCTTTTATTATACAGGATAGGATGTGTGAAAATCAGGTCATCACATGATATTTCTACCTCTAGACCAGTGTTACCCAAATGAACTTTCTGTGATCATGGAAAATGATTTGTATCTGTGATGCCCAATTAGATAGTCACTAGTTAAATATGGCTACTGAAAAGTAAGATTAAGGAGCCTAATTTTTAATTTAATTATTAGATTTAAATAGTCACATGTACTACAACAATGGATAACATAGCCTTAGACTTTCCTTTCCTGTTCTTGTTCTTTACCATTGTGAGTCTTATACAGATGCTCTTAATAAAGTCCCTGTATTAAATGCTTCTCTATTATATCTAAGATCAAAAGAAAGAGAATTTCTGTAAAGAATTTTCAAAGCTAGCTTTAAAATGTGCTTTTTAATGAAGAGTACTAATCAGTTTACTAAAAATTAAATTAAAAAGAAATAGCACATACATCTGAGTGCTTGAAATGGAAACTTTTAACAATATACATTTTCTCCTAAATTCTTTTGTCAGCTACATAATTGGTCCCAGGGTAAGATAATGGCATAACTACAATTAAGTACAGTGCAAATGATAGCACAACCAAGCAGAATTAAGGGAAAAAATGACATTCTGTATCTGTCTCTTCACTGTGAGAATACAGAAATTAATAGAAATATGATAGCTCAAATGCAACAATACAATGTGTATGTCAATGAAGAGTTGTATAATTTTATGGGTAGTACTATTTACTTTACCTCCAAAGATTAAATCTTACCCCAATTTAAGGGACTTTTGGATGACTACTAATGGTTCTTTTCTGTTAATCCTCAATTCTCTCTCTCTCTCTCTCTCTCTCTTCCTCCCACACTTTCTAAAAATCAATTCTGAGAGTGTGGAAGGGAGAGAGAGAGAGAGAAACATTGATGTGAAAGAGACACATCAGTTGGTTGCCTTTGCACATGTCCCGACCAGGGCCAGGATCAAGCCTGCAACTGAGGTGCATGCCCTTGACTGGAGTGAACCCGGGACCCTTCAGTCCCCAGGCTGATGGTCTTTCCACTGAGCCAAATCAGCTAGGGTCTAATGGTTCTTTTCAATTAAGATACACATTATTTTAAAGTAAAATTATTTAAAAGGTGGCCATAAGATCTCAGATTAAAATATTAGGTCTTTTAAGCTTCCTCTGTTTCTCCTCCCTAGTCTCCTCACATATAAACACAGTCATTTTTTAAAGAACAAATGTAGGTGTTAAGAAAAACAACTATCTGTTAAAAAAGAAATAATGGCCTCTCTCTGGGAATGGTATTAATGTCATCACCAATCAATTCCTCTTTTCTTCTATCAACTTGGCTTTCAATACTTTGGGGATGGCGATATGGGGTAGGAGTATGGAACATGTAAAACAACCTTAGTATACAGAGATAGGATTCAAAATATTCAAGTTATGTGAGTGCAAGTTATGGATAAACTACATACCAATTTCTGAATGACTGCTGATCTTTTTGTTTGGCACTTGAATAAACATAATGATACTTACTATTTTGAGTCAGGGCTTGAAGCAGACAATCCAAGCATCCTTCTAAACTATCCTCAGTTCTGTCAACAGCTGTTATCTTCAGCTTCTTCAAGGTATCACTGAGATTATCTGCTTATCAAAGAAAAAAAAATCAGAAACCTTTCTAAATATATGGCCATCATATGCTACATAACAAACAGTTAAAATAATAGGCAAAGGGCTCTCATTATAGTGAATTAACATCCACATACATACCAAAATGGCAATGGACTGTACTACTACTAATTTATTAAATAAAATTTTATCCATTTAAGTCAAATATGAAGAATTCATTCTGTATATATAAAATATCAGGAATAGGCGAGAACCGAAGATGGCGGCATAGGTTAACGCCGGAGATTGCTGCCTTGAACAACCAATTCAAATTAAGCTTGAACCAGGGACCGGACAACATCCAGAACCACAGGAGGGCTGGCTGAGTGGAAATTCTATAACTAGGAGTAAAGAGAATATTATATCCAGACTCAGAGGAGCCGCAGTGCTGAAGTGAAATTCTCAGGTACCGAGTGCGCGCGGAGCGGGGCTGGCGGCGCGGAGGACGCGATTGTTTACAATCGGGCGGGAGTCGCAGACT